CCTGGCAGCAGTGAGTGAGAACCTGTAAATGTTCTTTGGCTCTTACCTTGTCTTATTTTTGTAATAGTTATGTATTGATGAAAACGTATGCATTTATAAAATTATTTCTTGTAGTTATAACTTCAGTTCGCAGATATACGACGTGTTTTGGTTGTGAGATAAATATTTCAGACTAAATAAATAATTCACAAAAGCAGAAATCCATGAAACTTCTAAAGTGATTCCATCCAAATTTCTTACATTACCATATTACCTAGGAAAATGTTTTGCCATTGTAAAACATTGTGCTTCCATCATTGTAATACAAGTGGTCCCCGACTCATGACGTATTCGAGTTGTGATGAACCACACTTACTATGTACAGCACGTAATTTGTGATGTCATCATATTTGTAAGTTTATATGAAATGTTTCCAACCCCCAAAGACAAATAAAGATCAGATTTATAAAAATACTGATAATAAAAGGCAAAATAATGAAAACTAAAAAAAATGAGGTATTCGACTTAGGTCAGAACCCATGTAAGACAAGTCATCCAAACAGAACCCCATTGAAGTAACAATAAAACTCTTTGCCTATAAAGTAAGACTATGTGGGACTCAAGGTAGTATATACTAATAGCGTTTTTGCCTAACTTTATTTTCTCTAGTATTTCTACCATTTCCGATTTCTCCCACACACAATTGTTCTTCTCTTCTGATGGTTACAAGTTTCTTTTTGCTTTTTTTTTAAATATTTTGTTTCTTCTTTTTACAGCTGGCTCCCTTCTGTATTACATGTTTTGTTTTACTCTCAGACTAGAAATGCTATCCTGTATAGGTAGGTCTTATTCCTTGGAATTCTATAGAGCCAGAGAATAATACTGGTAATATGAAGAAGAAAAACAAAATATTTATCTTCTTTGGAACATAATAATAATTATAATAATAATAATAACACCGACTCATAGCAACTCTACTGTGAGTGCAGTTGTTGAGAGCTCAGCTGCTAACCAAAAGGTCAGCAGTTCAAACCTGCCAGTCACTGCTTGAAAACCCTATGGGGCAGTTCTACTCTGTCCTATAGGGTCGCTATGAGTGGCTATGAATATTACCATAGAACCTACATAATACTGAAATCTTTTTTCATTAACATTTATTTTTCTTAAAAATGTGATACAAATATTTAGTGGCAAAGAACTATATTTGTTGAAATGTCCTACATATTGTCTTTCTCAGAGTTAATGAAGTTACAGCTATGCTTGAAAATGTAACAGTTGTTAAAACAAAATTAATTTTGGACAGACTCACTGTTTAATGAATTATGCTGTGTCTAGGCACCTCCAGTAAACTGATTTGATAGGCAATACATTATATAAATTTTCCAATTACATACTTTGTTTTTTGAACTCTGTATTTTAGATACATAACAGTAAAATACTCATGATCTTTTGAGTCAACTCCCCAAAATGATATTATTATTGGACTATAACTGAGTAATTAAACTTGATTTGAATCTACATAAGTTAATTAACCTTAACATTTTTCCAGGACAATCGAGCTAATGTTAGAAGACCAAACAACATCGTGTAGTAATTATTACCACTAAACTAGCATCATTAAAGAACAATCATTAGTAGCACTTCAAATTTGTGGATAACACCTACCAAACCACAAATCAAATTAGCATATTCTTCATTTATTTTTTATTAGCTGTTAACATTAGGCAGAATTCCCTGCTGAAGTCCAGACTAGCTGGCATGGGCTTGATATTTGTCATTGATTGAGCTTACATAAAAACATGTGCTAGCTGTTAATTATATCTATTGAATGGGCTTTTGCATTGTAATTTTAAAATGTTTCGTTCAGAATACATTTTATTAGACTATAAGCACTACACATCACTTATCAGTATTTTTCTCAAATACACATTTTGATCTTTAAAAAGGTCAAGTTGAAATAATTCAACTCGTTTATGTAAAAACATGAATGAACAGGTAGGGACAGACTTATATTATAAACTTAAATGGCTTCTTCTACACTAAAAATAACATCAAAGATTAGGAATCTATCTTGTTCTTAAAGCCACTATCCAAAGAATCAATAATGCTGTACTGCCTCTTTATCTCGTTCCCTGATCAAATTGGACTCTATCTCTACCTTGGTTAATGGTCTCTTAAAATTAGATAACCTTTAAATCCAGGCTTTTCCAGGAATCTCTTTATGGTGCTCTGGAAAGAACTGTAAATTCTGACTTTCTGCACAGTATTTTTTTTTTTAAATAAGATTTTTCAAAGATTTAATAAAGTTCTGTAGTGTCAACAGCTCCATCTAAGCATTGTAGGTTTTTAAGAAAGTCATTTCTCAAGAAAAACTGAGCAATTAGATGAGATATAAATTCATAAAGATAAGCTGAGTTGAGTCTACATAGTCCAACTTCAATGCACAATGACAAACTCTCTTGTACTCAGATCTGACTTGCGGACTTGGCATTGGAGACAGCCACCAAAGGAAAATTGATCCATAAAAAATACTAATGGTTTCTAAGCTGCTAAGAGCCCAGCACAACTTCATATTTTTAATACTATATTTTTCTAAAAACATTGTGTTTAAATCTTGGTGCTTAGCTGAAGACTTAGTCCCAATCAACCAAACAAATTTCTTCAATCAAGGGACCTATTAAGCACCTACAATAACTTGTTAATAGTAAAGCTCTATGAAGACAAGATGAAAACCCTTTAAAATTAAAATTCTGTAAAGAAAAAAATGTATGGCTGTAATTTCATTCCACTTATAGATAAAATACTTTGCTTTTTCTAAAATACCACATTATCAGCATAAGGAATAAAATACAGTAAGAGTTTTACAGAACTAGACTGGCACTTGATCTAGAATACCCCTAACTCTATGAACACAAAGATGGCATCCAGTTGGTTCCACCAATTCTCACCAAATTTTCACAAGAAATCTAAATTTCTAAAGCTAGAGTTTGGCAATCTTCCTTCCTCAGCAAGAATAAGATCAACTTAATTGCATAGGGTGAATATTTTAAATGGAGCTTGGCAGAATAAATTGTTACATCAAATCACTGTCAGTTCTCTCCCCCGCCGCCTTCTACTGCACTGTGCCCAAAAGAAGGTTATTTATTCACGGTTTGATAAAACTCCTGGACAGCAGAGTAGATAGAGAAAGCCTGTTTCATAAGTAAGCAAGTACAGAGCCATTATTCTTAAGAGAAAGGAAAACCAAATTTCCATGAGAATATATCCTAGTAAAACACTGTTTTGTTGTATTTCAGAGATACTCTTGTGAGTTCATTTAATAACATGCAATATCCCTTTAAGGACATGTGATACACCTTTATATGAATTACAAGTGCTATTTAAAACAGGATTCGATAATTAAAATGATTTTAGAAAATATAATGGGAAAGAATTCTTAGCAATGGAATTAAATTTGTGTCCTACCAAGGGCAAGATCACATTCAATACAAGCCTTTTGGAAAAATCCCCGTGTTATGCAGGATGTTCATTTGTTACGAAATCACCATATTTCAATAAAATAAGTGACCCAATAAAATACATCTCCATAAGTGAAATATTAACAACACAAGAACCAATGTAAAATAGATATATTATCAAAAAAACTATCCCCCCACCACACACACACACACACACACACACACCAGAAGACAGATATTATAATCTCAGTTTTGCTCGACTTCCTTATGATATTGTATTCAGTAACTGTCTCTATAATCAACATGAAAGAGATGTAAGGACATTGGAAGTCTCTTTCAGGAAAATCTGTTTGCTCTGCCTGTCTCCCCTCCCCCCTTTTTGTTTGTTTTCCTAACATTCAACGGGAAGAATTTCATGGAGAGCACATACTTGCCCTTTGACACATCACATGCCATCATCACCAGAGTTAACTCTTTTAGAACTAGCTCTATTTTAAATATTTTTATTTCCTGAAATTCCTAAATTTCCAGTGATTCAACCAACATAATTTTTGTTCATTTTAATGTCCCTTGTTGCATTGTAGACATTATAAATAGCTTCATTTCTTCCTTCCTTCCTTCTAGGTTGGACATGGCTCATGGAGTCCAATTTTCTGGTCTAGATTAGGTGAGTGGAGTACAATGCCCTCGCCCAGGAACAGAGAGGAGGTTCAGCTCTCTAACAGCAGCTCTCAGTGAGGAGTCACTGCACAATGGGTACTCCGTGTTACAAGAAACCATGGGCACGGTTTGTCACCGCAAAGTGCCAACAGGAAGATGACATTGTCCCCCACTTCTTCTCTCTGACCTGTTGACTGTCAATTAGAATACTTGGACAGTACCTTATTTACTTCCCCATCACCACCTGGTTGGGGGTAAAAGGATTTATTTAATGATGTAAAGTCAAATCAAACTGGAACTAATAAGAGCTATATGGTTTTCCCAAGTCGGCATAAAGCTGAAAAAAGTAGGGCTGGACATTACATCACAATTTAACATAAGCATCTGAGCAGAAACATTATCTTAAATTGTCACAAAACCACAACGTCAGATAAAAGCAACAGATATAGTTCCAGCCAGTTCTGGGAGCCAAGAAATTCTTTCCAGAAGTGTTTGTTTCCTTTTTGTGCCTTCCCAATTTGTATTCAGCAATGACGTTAGGGACCGTACTTTAATGTCTTAAATGTGCCTTTTCTGTGTATATATTAATGTGATTCAAAACAGAATACAAAATTTTCCACCCCTCGTAAGCAGTCTGATAAATTCTGTCACAATATTTGTTCTCTTATAATGTACTTAAAATACGTAAAGGTACAAAAGTAAATTTACAATCATGATGTCAAATCAACTGATGTCAAATTAATTATCTCTGTGTGTACAGCATATCAACAAGTGGCACTCAAGTAAGGATTGATATTTTGAAGGTAGTCTTGTATGATAATTATTGTTTCTCATTTCGTTTAAACAAATAAACATTCACACTCACAAGAACAGTCAACCACAAATATAAAAAAGAGAACTTACACAATTTCATCATTCTGGAATTCGAGCTCTCCACAAGTGTCCTCAAAGTCTTCTCCTCCACCTCTGGCAGTCCCTTCAATGGTTTTATAGGGAACGATAACATTTCCTCGTGCTCCAGATGTTCTCAATACTTTCACCTCCATGATGCCAATGCTCTCGCTCACATGAGTCACAGGTTCCTCAAAAGTAAAGATGCCTGCATGGTCATCATCAAAAATCGTCACGGTGGCAGTAGAGGGAGATCCGAGGCAAGCGAGTGTGGAAACATGATTGGCTTCCAGTATGCCATCTTCTGAAGCTTCAGAGGACACTTTGACATTGCTGAGATGCACAAGGAAATTTTCGTCCTCCTCAAAGATATCATCATCAATGATGCCAACTCTGATTTCCTTCTGGGTCTCACCAGGCTTAAAGACCACAGTTCCCTCAGTAAATTCATAATCAGAGCCAGCATTGGCTGTGCCATCCTCTGTTCTGAAGTCAACAAACACAGTGTTGGTCAAATCACCACCTCTGCGGATTATGGTCAGGGCCACAGTACCACAGTTCTCCAGACACTGATATGTCCCTTGCTCAAAGAAGATCTTACTAACTGGATCATTTTCTGCAACTTCAGTGTTGACCTCGTGCATGCTGACAGCCTTCCTCGCTTGGTCAGCTGCGTGCCTCTTTAAAATGTTGCCAGCTCCCGTCATCAAGCGAGTAGCCTGAATGCGGTAAAATGCTCGGCTCTTTTGCTGCTGACTTAGGACCTGGTAGTTAGCTAATTCTATTAGTTGCTCTATTTCTTTCTCTGGATGCTTCTGTTTGAGTTCTTTCAGGATCCTAGCCATTTCTCGCCTAGCCTCTTCATCATCTTGGTCCCTCTCATCAACCTCCAGAACCAGAGCGCCATCTAAGAAATTGTCAACGTGAGAATTAACCACTTTCCCATCCATTTCAATTTCTGTCTTGGAAGATGGCCTGTCTCCTTCATGTTCAATAATCATTCCCCTCTGCTTGCCAGCCCGATACCTCTTGTAGACATACTTGTAAAACAGAAGCCTCCTGTCTGCTACCCAAGCAAACACAACACAAATGGGAAAAAAGAAGAAAGTAAGCAAGCCTTCCCAGACTTCCACAACTCCAGGAGAGATGACAGACAAAATAATGTAAAGCCAGGTATAGGCAAAGATGCTCCAGGCTGCGGTCACAAAGAACACACGCAAATGCTTAATCTTCCTCGTCTCTCCATCCGGGACCACGTAAACGCAAAGGGCAATAATGATAAACATGTTGAATGCAGCGCTTCCCACGATGGTGCTAGGACCCAGGTCTCCTGCAGTGAAATTATGGCCACACACTTCAATGACTGAAAGCAGAATCTCAGGAGCAGAAGATCCCAGGGCCATCAAGGTTAGATTAGAAACTGTCTCATTCCAGATCCTTACAGTCGTCTTGGTGGTCTCTCCATTGGGTTTCTTTATGGTTATTTCTTTTTCTTGAGATGTAATGACTTCTATAGAGGACATGAACCGGTCAGCAATGATAGATACTCCGAGAAACATGTAGACCATGGCCACAAAATACACAGTAGCTCTAGCAATTTTGTCCCCAAAGGAAGGGTCTTGGGGCTCCCAAATGGGTAAAATCACCCCTTTCTTACAGTAATATGAGCCGGTACATTCACCAGTATCATTTCCTTCTCCTTCCATTTCACTCTCAGCATTTATATGGTCCACGTGGGAAAATAAGACAGCCACAATGGCTAACAGATGAAATCCCATCGAAAAGGTGGGTGAGAGACTTAATCGCAACATTTTGTACAATGATTTCCAACTGTCCCAACCTAATGGTAGAAATAAGATAGAGGGAGGGTGGAAAAAATCATATCATTAGAACAAAATCCAAAGCATAACAAATTACTTTTTTATTATGGTTACCAATAATTTATTTATATTTGATCATCACAAAATCTATGGTGAATCATCATTATTCTAAGAAACCATCAGCTATTAAGCAATCCTTTGTAAATTCTTTGTAATCTCTGTGGGTTTTCTACATGTAGTCCCCATTCACTGAGCCAGATACACAGTTGACTTATTGGAAAAGAAAAGTTCAGTTATAACCTTGCCTTATTGAATACACATTTATGTATGTTAACAGCCAATTAAAAAAAAAAAAAAAACTTTTGAAGCATTAAATAATTTTCTCCTAGCCGCTAAAGCAGATTTTCTTTTAAATTTTGGCTAATACATCATCTTCCAGCTACTATTTTGTTGCCAAAATCACTTTATTAAGATTGATATATGGAAATTAAGACTCTGAAAAATTTTACTATCATAAGGTCTGGTGATCATCTTGAATTCTGTAATATACCTTATATTGTATTTCATAAAATCATGTCCTATTGCTCCAAACTTACTTGGAACACAAAGAAATCCTCAAGCTTGCCTGCAATCAAAGCTCAGTGGTATTTATACATGAAAAAAATCTGCTATGATGCAATATTTCCACACATTAAGTACAGTTTTTAAAAGCATGTTTTGATGAGAGCACATTTCCTTCTCATTTTCAGCAAGCCAAGGTCTCCTGATACATTAGCAGCTGGGCATCTGGTTCTTCATGCACAGCTCTTCACATCTGTGTACAGATCCTGTTTTAAAATCTGTGGGCTGTCCACAAAAGGAAAGGGCAGCAGCCAGGCCTGGACCTAGTTGGAGAAAAAGTATACAAGCCTGGCAATCTATGAAATCAGCCATTACCAGCCATAAAATGCTTCATCTTTGTGTTGATGTCATACTTTCCAGGGTCATTCTAAAACACATATTAGTTCTATAGAGGGTTCACATGACCAAAAAAGTGCAGGAACAACAATTCCATCTAAATTAGCACACGCAACATAATGACAGTGACCACAAAGTATACATATGATGAAGGGTTACAGGGATATAGTAACAGTTACTGAGCATCACAAAGCTTGGTGGGTAAAGCAGGGGACTGAGCTACCAGAGCCCTATATTCACCCACCAATTCATCCAAAACTCAGCTTGGACCATTCACCACCTCTGCATCCAGGACCTGGGTGGACACTAAGTATAAGAAGGCGTGCGCCAAGTCAGAGTAATTCTGCTCTGCAAACTTTGCAGGAGGGGCCAGTTATCAAATCAGATAAGGAGGCGATCCAAAGGTGTCCTGAGTCAGAACACAGTTTTGTTGTCTGGCAAAGAGTTAAAAGAGGAGCTGGATTAGAGCCTGTCATTGCTCAGGCTGGCTAAGAGCAGCCTCCACACTCCTGCAGTTCCCTAGTGGATGGCCTATACTGAAAACCACACTGGGACGCAGGAGAGCCTCCTGGCCCAGCACATTCTGGCAGACCCTCAGAGACCATAGCCTAAAACCTTTTTGAGTTTATCACTGTCGGGAGATAGGCTTCTTTGGCAATTTTCCCATATTAGAGAAGACAATGAAATCTTGAAAGTCGTAATGGTAGAATTCCAATCTAAGTACAAGGCTGAAAAACAGATGCACATTTTGAAAATATGCAAAAGGTCACGGTCAGTGTGTCTGCTTGTCAGTCATTACGTGGCTCAGGTGGCTTGTGGGATCTCTGCTGAAAACAAGGTTGCATTTAACCAGTCTGCAAGAGTAATGGAAGACCTACCTCCACCCATCCCTACCCATAAATTTACTCCACAAGCATTTACTGACTGTCTAGATGTATTTTAGAATGACCTGCTAGGCCTCTTCTCGGTCCTGAGAATTCATCAGTGAATAGAAGTCCCTGTCCTCAATGAGCTTATATTCTAATGGCAAGCAAGAAAACAAACAAATAAATATAAAAGTCAGATGGTAAAAAGTGCTATCATGAGGGGGAAAAAAGCAATATAAGGAGGACAGGGTTTGTGTGTTTTCTGTATGTGTGCATGTGCACATGTGACACACATTTCATTTTGGATGGTTAAAGAAGCCCTCTCTGATGAGGTGTCATTTGAGCAAAGTCTTGAAGGAACCAAAGGATTAGATGTGATGGTTATCTACAGGAAGAGAATCCCCAGCAAGTACAAAGGCCCTGATGGGGACCGTGCCTGACATAGTCTAGGAACCACAGAGAAGCCAGTGTGGCTAAGGGGCAAAGAACCAGGGCAGGCAGGGCTCAGGAACTGGGATGCAGCAGGGATGGATCAGGGAGAGGTGTTGCGGTCACTGTCACATGTTGGTTTTTAACACAAAGGAGATGAGAATCATTTGGAGGCTCTGATCAGAAGTGAGACATGATTTGATTTCCCTTTTACAAGTATCTCTCTGGACAGCTATCAGAAATCCAGAAGATTAACAATAAATTTCAGAATTAGACAACTCAATAGAAAGTCATAGGAGCAGAACTGAGGCAATGGAAGTCAGAATTCGTGAGACTGAAGATAAAGCACTTGACACCAACTTATTTGAGGAAAAATCAGACAAAAGAATTGAAAAAAATGAAGAAACCCTAAGAATGATGTGGGACTCTATCAAAAGGAATAACCTACGAGTGATTGGAGTACCAGAACGGGGGTGGAGGGATAACAGAAAATACAGACAGAATTGGTAAAGATTTGTTGGCAGAAAAATTCCCTGATATTGTGAAAGATGACAAGATATCCATCCAAGATGCTCATCGAACCCCACATAAGGTAGATCCCAAAAGAAAGTCACCAGGACATATTATAATCAAACTTGCCAAAACCAAGATAAAGAGAGAATTTTATGAGTGGCTAGGGAAAAACAAAAGTCATCTACAAAGGAGAGTCAATGAGAATAAGCTGGGACTACCCAGCAGAAACCATGCAGGCAAGAAGGCAATGGGATGACATATATAAAGCCTTGAAGAAAAAAACTGCCAGCCAAGATTATATATCCAGCAAAACTGTCTCTCAAATATGATGGCAAAATTAGGGCACTTCCAAATAAACAGAAGTTTGGGGAATTTGCAAAAACCAAACCAAAATTACAAGAAATACTAAAGGGAGTCCTCTGGTTAGAAAATCAGTAACATCAGATAACAACCGAAGACTAGAACACAGGACACAGCAACCAGTTATCAACCCAGATAGGGAAGTCAAAAAAGTAAATCAAAGCTAAAACACTGAAAATAGGGAAACAGATGTTAATATGTAAAAGATGACAACATTAAAACAAAAAAGAGGGACTATAAAATGTAGACAGATTTTTCACATGGAGAGGAAGTCAAGGCAATATAAAGAAATAAAAGACTGGCATAAACTTAGAAAAATAGGGGTAAATATTAAGGTAACCACAAAGGAAACTAACAATCCTACAAGTCAAAATAAAAAGATGGGAAAATAAAGACTCAGCAAACACAAAATCAACAACCATGAAAAAGATGAAAAGAAATTACATAAAGAAAAACGACTCAGCACAGAAAATTAAGTGGAACAAAGAAACTGTGAACAACACACAAAAAAAGACATCAAAATGACAGCACTAAACTCATACCTAGCAATAATTATGCTGAATGTAAATGGACTAACTGCACCAATAAAGAGAGAGTGGCAGATTGGATAAAAAAACACAATCCATCTATACGCTGCCTACAAGAGACACATCTTAGACTGAAAGACACAAACAAACTAAAACTCACAGGATGAAAAAAAATATATTAAGCAAACAACACTAAAAAAAGAGCAGGAGTGGCAATATTAATCTCTGACAAAATAGGCTTTAAAGTAAAATCCACCACAAAGGATAAGGAAGGACACTACATAATGATTAAAGGGTCAATACACCAGGAGGACATAACTATAATAAATATTTATGCACCCAACAACAGGGCTCCAAAACACATAAAACAAACTCTAACAGCTCTGAAAAGAGAGATAGATAGCTCCACAATAGTAGTAGGAGACTTCAACACGCCACTTTCAGTGAAGGGCAGAACATCCAGAAAGAAGCTCAACAAAGACATGGAAGAGCTAAATGCTACAATCAACCAACTTGATCTCATAGACATATACCAAACACTCCACCCAACAGCAGCCAAGTATACTTTCTTTTCCAATGCGCATGGAACATTCTCCAGAAGAGACCACATATTAGGCCATAAAGCAAGCCTTAACAAAATCCAAAGCATCGAAATATTACAAAGCATCTTTTCTGACCATAAAGCCATAAAACTAGAAATCAACAACAGAAAAAGCAAGGAACAAAAATCAAACACATGGAAAATGAACAACACCTTGCTCAAAAACTACTGGATTACAGAAGAAATTAAAGATGGAATAAAGAAATTCATAGAATCAAATGAGAATGAAAACGCATCCTACCAGAACCTTTAGGACACAGAGAAAGCAGTGCTCAGAGGTCAGTTTATAGCAATAAATGCACACATCCAAAAAGAAGAAAGGGCCATAATCAAAACATTAAGCTTACAACTGGAACAAGTAGAAAGAGAGCAGCAAAAGAAGCCCTCAGGTGCCAGAAGAAAGGAAATAATAAGAATTAGAGTAGAATTAAATGAAATACAGAACAGAAAATCAATTGAAAGAGTTAACAAGACCAAAAGCTGGTTCTTTGAAAAGTTCAAAAAAATTGATAAACCACTGGCCAAACTGACAAAAGAAAAACAGGGGAGGAAGCAGATAACCCATATAAGAAATGACATGGGTGATATCACAACAGACCCAACTGATATTAAAAGAATCATAACAGAATACTATGAAAAACTGTACTCTAAAAAATTTGAAAACATAGGGGAAATGGACAACTTTCTAGAAACTCACTACCTACCTAAATTAACACAAACAGAGGTAGAACAACTAAATAAACCCATAACAAAAGAAGGGAGTGAAAATGTAA